GATAATGTAAAGGAAAAATTTATTGAGAAATTGTTCTTCAAATGTTGGGCGCGTTCTGTTTCCGAATGATTTATCAATGTTCCGGGTCGTTTTTTCATGTTCTCCACCCTTTTTCTTAGAGAAATTTTGCTAATTATTTGCTGCTGAAAAAAGCGTCCTACTCTACCAATGATTCTTATAGAACTGAATAACAACTAATAAATATAAGTCTGAAAATATCCCCCGCTAGAGGGCGTATTAAAGCGTTGCGATCGCGAATACCAAATAATAAGTTTAGTTTTTAGGCTTCGGCTTTTTTGCTAAGATGTTATTTCTTGTAAAAAATATTACAACGATTCATATTTTTAAAATGGATGAGTTGAATATGTTTACCAATAAGTTATGTAACTTTGGAATAGTCGTTTAGCGTATTCTAATGTAATTGAAAAGAAAATAAATGGGGCGTAAATACACTTAACATGAATTTGACATAAGAAAACGCGATGTTTGAGAATGTGATTAACAGACTCTGACATCTTCCTCCTTAGGACAATTTTCGAACTGTTTGTCATAACTCATTAACTAGGTTAGCAGCAGAGAATTAAGTTTTAATCGACCTTAATACTTACTAAATAACTTAAATAAATATTAACTTAACAATAACTTAAATAAAAATTTAGCAGGAGAGATAAATATAGGATTCTATTTGTATTTCGCATGTGAAATCTAAAATGGATATAGTTGATTTCCGATCTTGTTATTTTTACATGTATCAATGAAAAGACTTCATGTACTAGGCTGGAAAAAAATATAATACATACGTTGTAAAATATTTGCCAACCAAGTTATTTGTCTTCAAACATACATACATTAACATACGTAAAAAACATACATACACAAACATACATAAAAAAACATACATTGTGGTAGCATAATGTAAAAAACATAATTTATAGTAATACTTAGAACATTTAGTGGGAGGGTCTAAGGATCAAGAAAAATTAAAAAGTTTTTATACTTATTTTAAAACTAAAATTCGCTTTAAATTGGGATAAAATTATGTTTTAGCTCAATTCATACGTAATATAACGCCTATTTTACTCACTTTTTTACCCATATTAAAATTGAGTTTATGCTAAAATTTAGAAAAAATAATTTTTGTCATGTTTTTTTTTCTTTCTAGAATTTTATGCCTTAAAAACTATCAAATATAATAGAAAGAAGTTTGAATTAATTATTTCAATTATTTTTTGATATATGTTTAGTTATTTGGTAAAGCATTTTTAGATATTGTAAAAGAAAGATATTTACGGTAATATACGCAGAACATTTAGTGGGAGGGTCTAAGGATCAAGAGAAATTAAAAAGTTTTGATATTTATTTTAAAACTTAAAACTAAAGTTTGCTTTAAATTGGAATAAAATTATGTTTCAGTTCAATTAATATGTAAACTAATTTACGCCTATTTTACGTTTAAATAATGAACAAGAAAAGTGGGAAGTTTTAACGATATACTGAAAAAAAGAACAATAGATGATAGACACTTTTAAATTTTTTAAGCGAAGCATAAAAGTTTTAGCTCTATAAAAAAACTTAAATATAAATTTTTTAATATTATAAAATTTTTTTCTAGGATTTCATGCATGGAGAAAAAATATTCTGGTAAAATTACTGTAATGTAGAGTAAGGACATTTCAAGTTTAAAAAAACTCCACATTTCTGGTCATGTTACCAAAATATACTGTATTTAAACTATTCATTTGGTAATCTTTCTGTTCACATGGTAACTGTTTACCGTAAGTTCGTAAATTCTCGCTTCAAAATCATAGTTTTTATTACCACACGTTTAGTAACAAGAAGAAAACCGAAAATTAAATTTAACCGGATGATTGGTTTATATGCCATGCTCTAAAGCATAATAAAAGTTTCAAATTTTACCACATTTACCAAATTTTAACATGCATTGTATGTACAATAATATTGCTAATTTTATTAAGATTATTACCAAAGTGCTTTGGTAAAAATATCGTGATTTCTAGTGTTCCCATAGAGCCGGAAACATAGTAAATGTTACAAAAAATCTGAGAGTTTTGTCCATGCTTTTGGTTGAGTGTGGATATGTTATTCTATAATACGGCAGAACAAAAAATAAGAACAAATAAGAGTTTTTAAAAACTTTTAAGTGTGTGTACCTTCATAAAATCAAGTTTCTTCAAAAAAAATTATTTTTTAATATCTCTAACTGAAATAAAACTAGCTTGAAAATACGAAAATAAAAATGAACTTGGTTACTTAATGAGTCAAATAGCTAACTTTCCGCAAATGTTAATGAGTACTGATATCACACACGTTTTTTGTATAATTTCTCATTTCATAAATAATCCAGTCATAAAAAAATCAACCCAATACATCCAAACTTGTAAAACTACAGCAAACTAAAACCATTAGAGAGAACGCGAGCATAATTTTAAATTTACAGATCCAAATGATATAAAATTTGTCCAACGTGTCTTCGTTCAAAAAGAAGCTTTAAATAAATATAACTTTTGGAAAAAGAAATTTACATCCCGAAATTTAAAAAAAAAATGCAAATAATGTACTTACAAACGAAAGAAGAGAAAAAAAACTTTCGAAATTTCCTGATGTTAATGAACCTATGCATTATTTATTTTATTGGAGTGATACATAAAAAGGAAAGTTTCTCGAAGTTGCAAAAACTCATTTAATTGACTCAAACTCCGGAAAACTATTTGTATCCTGACAACAATTTTTGATCCAGTTGGTTTGAGTGAGGAGCGCTATCTATGGACGCTGAAAAATATGCTAATTTTCTAAACGCTGCCCTCTGGAGAACTGCTGAAGCGCGAAAATGCACTTAGAAAGTTCTGTTTCGCAAGAACTCTTCTTGCTTTTTAAAATTTAAGTTGGGACATAGATGTAGACGACATGTTTGACTTATTCGTTTTATAGCATACTGCTTTTTTTTATATTCAGTTATGGTAATTTGTATGGAACTTGTGTCTTATTGAATTTTATTTAAATTTATGCAGGCTTTTAAAAAATAAGAAGATTGTTTTCTGTACTAATTTTTGTTTTCTGCGCAAATTTTTATTTTCAGTTAATCGATAAATAATTCTTTTTTTTTGGGGGGGGGGATATTATTATCCTTACTGCAAATTTTATGATACTCAGTTTGAATGATATATTCAGTTTTATTGTGTGGTATTCAGGTTATGAACAAATTTTATGATTTTTTTTAATTAAGTTTTGTCCCAAGGGTGATGCCCGGTGGCTGAGGGGTAGCACTTCGCGCTCCCGTGCCACAGGTCCTGGGTTAGATCCTCTGGCCGGGCAAGGTTCACTCAGCCTTCCATTCCCTTAGTAGGTCGATAAATGAGTACCAAGCATGCTTGGGAACTAAACACTGGGAGTTCCGCTTTCAGCTGACCACCTACACTGGAACATCTGCTCCTGTACCCCAGTGCCCTAGGTTAAGAAAACTGAGATGGGCACAGTAAGCCTTGGCCCTCTATGGGCTGTTGTGCCACTGAGACTAGTTTAGTTTGTCCCGAGAGATATTCAGTTTCGTTGAGTTATATTCTGGTTTTTATTTAAAAGCTTGCGGATACCCAGTTCAGTATAAATTCGGCGAATTGGATAAATAGGATAGAATTGGTTTGGTTAATTGGATTGAATTGGTTCAGTTAATTTGAAAAATTGGATTGGTGTCACTGGGTAGGTTTTTTCAAAATATCAAAAAGGTAAATTTAATTGCTTCAAGTGGTATTCAGTTATTTTTAATAATATTCAGTTTGATTGCACGATATTTTGAGTAATAATCAGCTTGATTGGGTGACACTCTGGTTTATATTTAAAGCTTGAGATAACCCAGTTTAGTCAAAATTAAGTAGCTATGATATTGAATAACGCGCACTTTATGTTATGCTTTCTATACGTTTTAAAAATAGCATTAAATAAATACAGGAAATTTATTTACAAATGTTCTCCAAAATGTGTGCAAAATGTGAAATATCCTGAGAATAGCACATCTGATCGAAAATCTAAAAATACACTGATGAAATATTTTGAAAAATGCTTTCAACATTACCAAACTCGAACAACCTAATATGTCACCCTCTGGATCGAGTCTGGTGTCATTCAACAAATCTTTCAAAATATCAAATATTTTAATTGTTTCAATCTCGCGGTATTACTGTTTTAAACTATTTTCACTGAAACTTCATAGCGCAATTATAGCATCCCATATGAACTAAAATGTAATAAATATATGCCAAATTGGCAATTTTTTTTCTGGAAAATCCAGATCTGAAATAAGTAGGGGCTGTTATTTAAGACTTAGAAATTAAACCCATCCACTTGAAGGCAATGAGGCTTGGTAGCCGGACTTAGTTTTATTGAATGCACCTTTTAAAGGAACGATCTCGTGCATTTACACGCATTTAGAAGCCCATGCATATTTGGCCATTCTCTTACATTTTAGACACCCTGTAAACTCCGTAGCTTGCTGAGAAATTAAATATATTTATCATTTAGAGTTTTAAATTTACCTGCTGGTTAATAATTAATTTATCAAAGAAATACGAATTCATTTAAATAATTATTGACTTATCCAGGTAATCAGGAGTTCATCAGGGAGAAAATGCACGTGTACGTAAGACTGTTAAGTGCTCTATTGGCGTAGCTGGTCAGGGTGACACTCACACCGTGAGTGACGTCCTGACCAGCTGGAGGACATGAGTTTGATCTTGGCAGGCGTCTAAAGAAACTGCGTTTATACGCATCGCATCTAAGGTGACCGTTAAATCCGTCTTGACTGATAGTTCATCTCGTTGGTGGCGTTGAAGTTTTGAGAAAAAGGGTACCATCTCAGGTGCTGTCTGTGTCGTCTTAATGAATAAAAATTGCGTGCTAATTGTTTGACCATGATTGGGTTATCTGTGCATATATACGTAAAACTGGTGTTTCAAAATTAAGAAAAAAACATGTGTTTTATCTTACAGAAGGAGAAACTATTGCTAATAACCAGAGGCAGCATGTTTATCAAAACGGTACTCTTCTAATAAGTGAAATGTCCAACGAAGATGGTGGCCTCTACAGTTGTGAAGTCCGAAGTTCACAAAGTGCTCCCGTCTCCAGAACATTTAGAATTTCGATCAAAAGTAAGCTCACAAATTATTTTAATGTGTCAATAGTTATATTTAAACAATATTTTACTGTCTCTTTGAACCCCATTTAGATAAATATATTTTTTTAACTGCTTCTTTCAATTTCAATATTAATTTCGTGAAATGTATTCAGCCATGTTGCGAATTCTGTTTGTATTCGCTTCAAGTATTTTAAAGTTTAATTGCAATACATGTTAGCTAAAATGTCACGTTCAATTTCAAAGTTATTGATTATTTACAACTATGTGAAGTAAAAAGACGTATGATACATGGACAGATACATCAATCAAGTTCTCAATCAATCATTCATCAAGTTTTCTAGTACATACTACAAATGTCCAGTGTGCAAGAAACTGGAACATCCTGAATAACTTTTTGAGATTAATGATCGTTTCTTCGCGTACTCGGACACATTTTCAAAGGCTCAGGGGGTTGACATCACATATGCTAATTAATTAGAGCAGACGATATTTTAAGCTACGAAATCTGGCAAAAACACTGACTTTCTCAATCTAAACATAACTTTTTTTCCCGACGGATTCAGATTTCTGACTCTCAAAATATGGGGGGTAGCTGTTGTTATGGAAATAATAGTCCCACTAGTATGGTCAGGGAAGTTGTCGAATGTTTGAACTCATTAATGTTAATTTCCCTTTTTGAGTATTTCGCCATTTCTCAAGAAAGTTTTAATCTATTTGATAAAAAAATATTTCTCACATTTATAAAAATTCAGTTATCTAAGGATTATTCTACGCAAAAATAATTTCTAGTAAATATTGATTGATTATTATTATTTTCTTTAATAATAGACGAAACAAATTTGACTTGTTAAGTATGCAATTGCTTACATCATTCAAAAAATGTAATTTTCTACGGCAAAATACAAATTTTAGGCGAAATTAGTCGAATAGTTCCTAAGAAATTGAATTTTTAAATACCACTCTTTTGAAATTTGATTTCTTAGGAACTATTCAACTGACTTTGTATTTTGTAATGTAAAATTACATTATTTAATATGATGAAAATAAATGTATGCCTTACAATTTAAAATTATTTTGATTTTTGGTAAAGAAAATAAAAATAAATATTTACTAAAAACTACTTTTACATGAAATATTCCTTGGATAAACAGATTTTACTACAGCGCTCAAAAATTTCCTTTCGAAAGATATGAGGAAATAAGGATAAAGTAAAAGTAACATAAAGCGGTTCAAAATTTGGACCTTTGTCCCTACCAAACTATTGGGATCATATTTCTCAGCTAGCGGGAAATCCGTCTAAAAAAATCCTTTTTATTTTATTTTTTTTTGTGTCTTATTCCGTATTTTAATATCTTCAGCACCAAGTAATTAGCATATTTGAGGCCACCCCTTGAACCAGTAATATTGAGTCATAGACCGTGAAGATCTGATCATAAAATCGAAAGTTATTCAGGGTGGGTCGTTTTTTTCTTCTTTTGCTCACTGCACAGTGTTTACACCCTTGGTCACTCAGCACACATTCTAAACTGTCCCTTCCATGCTTTTTCTTTCATTTTTATGAATGTCTGCCTCATCAGCATAATTGTGGTCTTCTATTTGTGTAGGAAAAACTTTATATATCCCTGCTATCAACATTTCATGAAATTATCTTTAGGTGAACAAGTTTTAAAATTAAAATAAGAGCTTTTAATTCGAACGAAAAAATACAAAATAAATGAATAAATAAAATACAAAAAGATTAGCAAAAAAGATAAATAATATTATGTAACCTAAATTTTCGACCTGTGTCTTGACTTAACTATTGAGATTGTAATTTCCCTCCCACGTCTTGGGGGTCGTAAATTCAAATCTGTCTATATAAAAGTATATAAGAGAGAGAAAATACGTTTTTTTTCTTTGATTTCTCAAATAAAATTCGATTTTTTATTAATTAGCAAATCATGACTATATGCCTGAAGCATGAAAACGGTGACGCTAAAAGCATGCCATTTAGTAAAAAGTTATTCTAAGTATACTTTTTTTGTTTTACATCGCATGTGAATAAAATCATATTGATCTAATCTAAGCCCTATAATATAGTTTATTTTAATGACATATCAACTATACGGATCCTAAAGGGATTTGACATTTTAGCTGAAATATAGCTCGCTTTGAATCAAAACGCAATAAGGTAATATTCAATCAAATTAGAGTTGGGCAAAAAGCCAGAATTCTTTTCTAGAAATCTGAATTACAAGTAAAAACAATTCAATATGAAGAAAGCGAATTATGAATAAAAATCTTATGCTGATATATAATATCACCGAGTTCCTAGCCCTAGTGTGTTAAAAATGCGTTTTTATGTTATTATATTTTTTTAGCTATCATAAAAAGATAATTGTCCAATCATTTCGTCCATTCAGATTAGACAGAAAAATTACACGCGATTTTTATAATATAATAAAGACCATGACATCTTTAACTGTTATCAATTGATATAGGTTTTAGCAGCATTTATTTGTAAATTATTTAATTACCCTTCGCTTTGCAGTACTTGTAAGTAATATTCATTTATCTTCCCTTTTTTGCAGTATTCTCTATTATAATATTTTTGATTTTGATTTTTTTTTTTAAATTAAAGGTGCAAAACCCTATAGTATTTTTTCTTTATTATAGTAAATGATTATACAATATTATGTTTTGAACATTATTTGTGACTAAAGATATTTAGTTATTACTTAACAATTATTAGTTAGTCCTAAAGAAAAGGGTAAACTTTGTGATAGCGTAGACTAAACTGAAAAACAACGATAATAAAGCACAAACCAAGTGGACATACTATAGTTTCGATTCTCTATAAAAACCAGCTTCAATGCCTAAACACCGAATGGCATTAAAAAAGAAAAGAGATAAGCTATCTCAGAGTGGTTCAACTTATCAGGACAAAAGAATAAGATTAAAAGGAAGGTGATAAGAAACAGGTTTGAGGGAGCAACCCCCAGGGAGTATAAGATCGAATTAGACTAGATTTCCAAACATTTGAAAAGGGTAGGATACAAGCATCACGTATTTTTTTAAAATTGTACGGAATTGTAATGAACATTTTATAATTTTCTGAAAAATACTATACAAGGTGTTTATAATGTCCCGGACCCATTTTGATGTTTAATAACTCATAAAATAATAAAGATACATTAAAACTAATAACATAAATGGTTAGATAGACTCAAAAAGTTTCATTACCTTTGTCAATCAACTTCCACGTGTGCCCCCTTCGTCGCAAGGAGAATATCAAGTTGATAGTCAATTTCCCACCAGGTAGCAGCAAGCATGTCGGCATCCACGGAAGCAATTGCGGTTGTAATTCTGGCTTTTAGGTCATCAATGTTCGACACGATCCTCCTGTAAACATTGTCCTTTATTAATCCCCAAAGAAAAAAAATTCAGCGGTGTTATATCAGGTGATCTGGGTGGCCAAGGAATTGGACCTCCTCGCCCAATCCATCTTCCTGGAAAATGGTCATTCGAAGAACTACGAATGATGATACTCCAACGAGGTGGTGCACCATCATGTTGCAAAAAGACATGTGACTGAAGCTCTTCTAGTTGTGGAAATACGAAATTTTCCAACATGTCTAAGTATACGACTGATAAGACCGTCTTTTCTGTAAAATAGAAAAGCCCAATGACTCGGTCGTGCATTAGTCTACACCACGCATTAACCTTTGGGGAATCCCTTTGTGTCTCACGGTATTCATGGGGGTTTTCAGATCCCCACATGCGCACATTATGGCGATTAACAATGCCAGAAACATGAAAGGATGCTTCGTCGGAGAACATTATGCGCTTCCGAAAATCAGCAGCATCTTCTATCCTTCCTACCATATCTGTTGCAAACGCCATCCTCCTAGGCCTATCGTCCGGTTCCAAACCTTGAACAATTTGAACTTTGTATGCATGCAGTCTTAATTGTTTCTTAAAAACCTTGTACACCGTCGAAATTGGCATATCCAATTCTCTTGCCGCTGATCTCACAGATCTTCTAGGATTGTCTAAAAATGTCTGTCTGACACGCTCAA